ACCTATTAGTCCCGCCCTTATTTGCTTATGATTTCATATGATTTTGAGCTATCGATAGATGGCCCTTTAGTATTGCTATAACATTTTCCTTGTCTTATAGAAAAACATTCACCTCGAGATCTTTGTAGTCATTTGCCAAATAAGGCAAATGAATAGCATGAGAGTACCAATATAAGGCCTCGAAGGGTGACTGTTTAATGGTAGAATGTAAAGAAGTGTTGTACCAATACTCGACCAAACACAACCATCGACACCAAGCATTCGGAATAGAGGAAGTCATGCACCTTAGATATATTTGAAGACACTTATTAACAACCTCTATCTAGCCATCCATTCGAGGGTGGTAAGTAGTGGAAAATTTTAGAGTAACCCCCTAATAAGAGAACAACTCCTTCCAAAATTTACTAAAAAAATAGGGTCTCTATCCGAAACAATATTCATTGGCGATCCATGAAGCTTATAAATGTGTTTCATAAATGCTTTAGCCATAGAACTAGTAGTAGAAGGATGTTCTAGAGCTATAAAGTATGTATAGTTCTAGAGCTATAAAGTATGTATATTTCGTCGATCTATCCACCATAACCAAGATAACGATTTTCTTTAGGATAAAGGCAAACCCTCAATGAAATCCATAGTAACATCCGTAAAAATAGATCGAAACAAGGGAAGTGGATTCAACGGACTTAGACTAGCTATATTCTCATATTTATAAGTCCGACATATGCCACGAGTTCCGATGCATTTCCTAACCTCCCTACTCAAATCTTTCCAATAAAATAATGAAGCAAGCCTATGTACTACAACCTTCACTCCAGAATGGTCACCTACCGCATAGTCATAAAAATGAGAGATTAACTCTACATGTAAGTCCGGATCCTTTCCCACCACCAATTTGCCCTTTCTTCTCTACCGGTTATCATGCTAACTATATTTAGAAGCAATGTCTAGAGAAGATTGTAGCTGATTAATAATTGCTACTACGGTAGGATCCGAATCCTAGGATTACTTAATCTTGTTCTTTAGTCCAGTAGTTATTGAGGAAATAGTTATTGTTGATAACCGAACTCTAGATAGAACATCCGTCACTAAATTTTCCTTCCCCTTCGCATCAATATAGCCCTTATACCCATACCGAAGTATATTTTTCTATTACAAATTCCTCCTTCATCTATGGTAATGCCAATACGTGTATTGTTGTCATACCTTTTTTCAATCCATTAAAAGCTCCCTCTCGCTAGTGAACTCCATACAAACACATCCTTCTTCAATAAATCTGTCAATGGCTTAGCTATCGTCTTATAGCTCTTCATAAATCTCATATAATACCCAATAAGTCTTAAGAACTGCCTCGGTTGTTTGAGAGTTTTAGGTGTAGGCCATTATTACATATCTTCGATCTACTCGGAGTCGATTCGAAATCCCTCTTTGGAAATATAATGCCCTAAATACTCCACACTTGTAGTTCCAAATGCATATTTGGATCTTTTAGCAAATAAGATATTTTCTCTCAAAATGGACAAAGTTATTTGTAAATGAAAGACATGATCATGCGATTTTTACTAAAAACTAAAATATCATTAAAAAACATTAAAATGAATTCATATAAAACAAAGTCAAAAAACATCATTCATAAGAGATTGGAAGGTGCTAAGAGCATTAGTTAGACCAAATGGCATAACTAAGTACTCTCAATGCTCGTTTTGAGTTCGAAAAGTCGTTTTTGGTGTGTCTAAATCATGCATGCAAATTTGGTGATAGGCGGCTCGTAAATCCAACTTTGAAAACACGAGTTGACCTTTATAATTCATCCAAAAGTTCCTCAATTACGGGAATTGGAAATTGATCTTTGATAGTCAATTGATTCAGCCTCTTGTAATCCACACACATTCTCCATGTGGCATCCTTCTTTTTAACCGACACCACCAAAGAAAAGAAGGGACTATTACTGCTTCAAATTATTCCATTCTCTAGCATTTCCTTAACCTCATATTCCTCGAATTCTTCCATTCTCTAACATTTCCTTAACCTTCTATTCTATCTCATTTTTCGAATGGAATTATGTACGTATGGCTTCATACTTATAGATTCGACCCTCTCTTTAAGTATAATTATGTGATCATGCATTATTTGTGGAGGTAATCCCTTAGGTTTTGCAAACACATCTTCAAATCTGTCGAATATGCTTGTTAACTCCGAGTGGAATTTATTGTTTTGTTTCTATTCCATAATTTTGAACTTCCATATCTTCAATTTCCACCACTAAGCTTAACCGAATCCGGTTAAGGGATTGTTATCTACAAATAACCTTGTTAACTTCCTCCTACTCATGATTTTTTCTACCGTTAACGCTCTTTCACTACGAGCATAACCCACTTCTCGGTAAGTTTAAATTTCATTCACATTTGTTTGAAATTCCACGTAATATCTCCTAAAGCATATAACCATGTTACTCCTAAAATCATTTCGTATAAACCTAAATGCATCATAAAAACTATGATTTCAAAAGTTTTCCCTTGTATTTTTTATTTGAACTCCTTACACATGTATTCACACACTATATCATCACCATCGACTACCCTCACCATGACTAGTGTAATTCTAACCAATTCACATTTGTTCAACTTTACAAATCTCACATCTATAAAGTTGTATGTACTTGCCATTGTCTACCAAAGTGTTCATTCGTTTACTTTGCAACTTTCCTATAATTTTTATGGTTTGATAATTTTCTCTACCAAAAACTACAAACACCGATGTCCGACATAATTCCCCACTGTATCTTTCCCTATCTTACATATTTTCCCCTACCAACTCATCTTCTACTACTTCAAGATCCTCACCGTCCCTTCCATCTTCTTCCACCTCTAGCATGAATTACTTGTCTTCCTTTACACTTATGTCCTAGTGCATATTTCTCCTCACAAAAAAAACACCATCCCCTTAACCTCCTTTCATCTAATTCCTTGTTACTAGGTAGTCTCCTGGTTCTAAACATTGAGTTACCATTCCGAAATTGATTTGGTAATGGTAATAAGCCCTTTTGGTTATTGATAGTGTTATGGTAATAGGATATATGTAAATTCCGGTTTGAGAAATTTATAAGTTTATAGGTATTGTTATTATTCAATTTTGGGTTGAAAGTAGGAGTGGTGTTTGGTTCCCGATTTAACAAAAGAGGGTTATGGTTGTTGAATTTATTGGACTATTGTTGAACATTAGGATTGATTTTTTATAGTTTAGCTATGGCTACTACCTTGTTAAGGGTCTTAGGTCTCATTACCTTAAGCTGGAACTTGTAACTTAGGTCTTAAGCCACCAATAAAGTAGCTAGTGATATAATCTTTAAGTAGAACTAACATATTAACAACAAAAATAAATTTTTTAAGGAAGGTTTGGACATCACTAGTTTGTCAAATTTCCATCGGTTCTATCATAGAATCACTAAAAACCATAGCACCAAAATGAACACCTATAGCTTCAACATAATCCTCCTACCTCACAACATAATTGACTTCATTCATTCTCATAAAGACTTGATGCCACTTAAGAGCCTCTTCTTCTAAATGTATGGCGACTAAATTAACCTTAGTTTCTTCGGGAGTTTTATTAATTAAAAGGAACTTTTCACACCTAAAAGTCCATCTTTCAAAGTCTTCCCTAGAAAACTTTGGAAATTCGATTTTGGTCATCCTCATATTAAAGGAGTAATCGGTACTCTCTCCTACACCATTGTTGTTCATCATTTCGGTATTCAATCCATTCATTAGATACCCATACCTAGGCATTCTATATCCCCTATCATTCAAAACTCTTATTTCCTCATCCACATTATAATTTTCTTTCTCCTATACTTGGAGCCTGTAAGTGTAGTAAGTAATTCCTTTAATTCACCAATATCCCGATCATGTTATGCAAAAACTGAATCACGTCGCAATGTAAGATCATTTATTACCATAGTAAGCATGGCAATTGATTCATCCATCTTTTTAAGATCAACATTTCCCTTCACCATGGTTGGTAACCCTTATAGACTCCACATGTGTTAGAATTTGCTTTAATACCAATTGATGCAATCTCAAATTCAAGTAACAAGAACAATTGTAAGTATTACAAGTAAATGAAAGAAAAATCAGCTTTATTAAATGAAAAAATGAATTACGATGAATCGTAATAATTAGAATTGAAATACATAAAGTTTATGAAGAATTAATAATTCCGGAAGAATGACAAACAAGAGGAAGAACAAAGAGAAAAGCCGGAAAGGAATCTAGAGAGAAAATACAATGATCTTGCCTACCTATTACAATGAAATCCCTTTCTCTATATACTTCTTCCATTCTAATAGCTTCAACTAATCATTTTTTGTTTCTCATTATTGATGAACCGAACCCGGACTTCTTGTCATGTCATGAAGTAAAGCCACATCATACATGTCATGTCCTATTCTTATTATTCTAACCTATCAAGCAAGTCAAACAAAGTCAACTCAAAGTCAACTACAAATATGTAGCCGTAACATAGCCATTATCGTGCTTCAAACATAGAACTCGATCCTCTTTTCTTAATCCTTTTACAACAAGAATCAAGTGAAAGCAATGCCAAAATACGGAACAACAATCAATAATCAACTAACTAAGACATTCATGTTTTGAATTCTCAATGAAAACCCCAAAACTAAACCCTACATTGCACCACACAAGAATCCCTCTATCAACACCACCACCACCACCATCACCGTCGGCATACCAAATGGGAAACATACTCCCGGTGGCTTATCTAACCAAGACCCTCTCCGAGCCCGACACTTGCAATCCGAACCCGGATTCCATTCATCTATCTAAATCTTTGATCCTCTAAATCCTACACAAAAACTCACTTGAAACCTCGAAGAAAATGGATTTTTTCCAAATGGTGTTCTCTCAAGCATAATTTCAAACACTTGGTTTGTCACTTTGTACCGCTCCGAGTACCTTGAAGAAGTTCCCGATTTGCTAAATTCAATGAAGAATGATGGTGTTGTTTTTGGGTCTAAAACTTTTAAGCTCTTGCTTGATGTATTTACTCGACTCGGGAAGTTTGACACTACACTTGACATTCTTAATCACATGGAAGAACTGGAAACTAACTCGAAACCTCATATGTATGATTCCATTATCGTTGCATTTACCGAGAAAAACCATGTGGGTTTGGCATTGTTCGTATTGTTTAAGTTTCTAGAAGTTTTTGATGGTAATAAAGGGAATGATCTTGGTGTTTCACTTTCGAGCTCCATAGCATACGATGCATTGTTGGTTGCACTTTAAAAGGGAGATATGAAACTAGAATTCAAAACGATTTTTGATAAATTAAGAGGGAAAGAGGGGTTTGAGTTAAATACATGGGGTTACAACATCCGCATTTAGATTTTTTGTTGTGGGGGTGATTTAAATACTTCTTTGAGGCTTTTTAAAGAGATGAAGGAAAAGAATTCATCTTTGAGGTCATTTGATCCTGATTTGTACATCTATAATAGCATGATTCATATGATATGTTAGGTTGGGAAGGTGAAGGATGCGGTGATCGTGTATGAGGAATTAAAGTTATCTATTCACGAAGTCGATGCCTTTACTTATCGAATTCTCATTCAAGAGTGTTGTAAATCTTATCAAATGGATGATGCAATAAAGATTTTTAATGAAATACGATACTATAGGTTTCTTCTAGATACCGTAATGTATAATTCTCTTTTAGGTGGGATGTTCGAGGAAAAGAAAGTTATGAAAGCATGTCGAGTTGTTTAAAAAGATGGTTCGGAATGGAGTAAGGGCCTCGTGTTGGACGTACAATATTTTGATTGATGGGTTGTATTGAAAAAAAAAGAGGACACATGGATTGCAAGTCATCTATATTTTGTTATAACTAATTAACAAACATAAACATTTAGAAGAAAAGTTAGTTATAAGTTTTCTCGCTTCCCATTTCCTTTCTCTTTGTGTATATAAATATCCAAGAAGATTGTAGAAAGTTAACTCTCCGAAACAATACGATCATCTTCTTTAATTCTCTCCTCTCGTTTCTATTTTTGATTTCTCACATGGTATCAAAACATTTAGGTTAAAATCAATTTACAAATCTCATCAATGGCGAACTTCTATTATGAATTTCTTGGTTGAAAATTCTCAATCTCCATTCTTCCTTCATCACTCAAATAATCACGAGTTCTATAATTGTTACACCAATATTAACTTCAAGCAACTATGCTTGATAGAGTCGTTCTTTCCTGTTAGCACTTTTGATTTATAATAAAACGGGATTCGTTGATGGATCGATCGCTACACTTGTCGGTAATGATCATTTGTATGGTCCCCGGTTGTGTTGCAATAATCTAATCATCTCCTAGTTACTTCGATCAATATCATCTCCGATTGGAGCAATAATCTTTTATATGAATTTTGTAGCTGAGATTTGGAAGGTGTTGAGGAAACGTTTTTTGCAAATTGATGACTCAAAGATTTACAATCTATAGCATGCACTCGTCTACTATAAATCAAGGTAATCGTATCATTGATGAGTAGTTTACCGAACTAAATTTTATTTGGGAGGAATTAAGAAGTTTTAGGCCATCTGCGTCACTATAAGTGTGGAGAATGCAATAAAAATTATTTCAAGAAGTTCATTGAACTACAATAGAAGGATTATGTGTATCAATTCTTGAATGGTTTAAACGAATCATATGTTGGTTTAAGATTGCATATGATCATGATGAAACCATTCCCTTCCTTAGATGAGGCTTACAATCTAATAGTGAAGGAAGAATCTCAAATAACCATGCAGAGTCAATTCCGGACTTTCTTTTATGCTTCGACCATGATGAGCGGAGTAAATTTTCGAAATAAGTCTAAAAATAGCTTTGGATGTTCACACTCGTGGAAAGCCTGGACATACTAAGGAGAGGTGTTACTATATCATTGGATTCCCTACCGATCCAAGACTTATGAAGAACAAAAGCAATTTCTTAACAATGAACTCTATAAAAACACAAGTAAATGAAAAATCCTCTGCAAAGACTAATGATGAGGCGAGAGGTTATAAATTCAGCATTGAATCCTTTGGCACGTACGTGTCTTTAACTCAACAACAGGTTTAACGATTAATGGCTTTTCTTAGTACTCGGGATGCACAAACATCACATTCTATCACACATGAGTTTGGAGTTCAATCATCTATAGTTCATTCTCGCTTTGCGGGTAGAACAATGTCCAAACATAATTCCTTTAATCATTCATATTATTGTTGCACACAATCTTTGAAACATCCATCGGATTACATGAATCATAATTCCTAGATAGTGGATACGAGTGCATTAGATCATCTTATTTGTTCACTGGATTTCTATAGTTCATTTGTCACTATCCATCATGTGTTTGTCTCAATGCTCGATGGGTCTAAATAGTTGCTACTCATTCCGGCACTATTCTTTGTCCTCAAAACTAATTCTTCATAATGTTCTCTTTGTTCCTACATTTAGCTTCAATCTCATTTCAGTCGGTAAGTTGACCAATTCCGGTAAATATGCGTTTGATTTTGGTCATGATTGTTGTTTGATTCATGCACTTCCTTAATGGACGGTGATTGGACTTGCTAAAGTCAAGAATGGTCTTTACTTCCTATAAAATAATCTATCTCTGTCTTTTTCTTTATTAGTCGTTGCTTCTTCAAAGTCGACTTCGAACTACATTCAAACTAATGCCATATTGAATGTTGACAATTGCTTCAATTTATGGCATTTAGATTAGGACATATTCCTTATGATAAGATGAAAATTATTCATCAAATCAATCCCGATGTCAAATGTACTCGAAATTCAAATAAAAGTCCTTGTATCGTTTGCCCTATGGCTAAGCATAAGAGACTTTCTTTTCCCATTCATATACGATCTACTACAGACACTTTTTGACTTAGTTCATGTTGATATCTAAGGGCCATATTCTCAATTAGCTCATGGAAAATATTAATATTTTTTTACAATTGTTAATGATTATACAAGAATGACTTGGGTCTTCTTAATGCAATCTAAATCAAATGTTGCATCCATAATTGCTAGTTTCTACAATTTGATTCAAAGATAATTCAATCTATCAATTAAACAGACTTATATCGAGAAAATGACATTGAATTTAAATTGTCCGAGTTCTATTCCATCAAAGGTATCATTCATCATTTGTCATGTGTTGAAACACCATAACAAAATGGTGTTGTTAAGCATAAACATCAACATTTGCTAATCATCACAAGATCCTTGTTGTTATAATCTTTATTACCTATTGCTTTCTAGGGTGAAGTTGTTCTTACTATTACATATCTTATCAATAGATTGCCCTCTAAAGTCCTTCATAACAAATCACCATATGAAATGTTATTTCATCAACTTCCTACCTATAATCAATTAAGAGTCTTTGGATGTCTTTTTTTCGCTTCCACTTTATCTCAAAACGAGAAAAAGTTTGATCCTAGAGCTAGGACTTGTGTGTTTATTGGATATCTAATAGGAATAAAAGCTTATCAATTATATGATATGCATTCTAAATCTGTTTTCACTTCCGTGGATGTTGTGTTTCATGAGCATATTTTTCCTTTCTCTACAATAACCACTTCCTCTACTCGATAGCTATATATCACCTCCTAATATTTTTTATGATTCTGCTCACCCACCATCTATTTCTTTTGATTCTTTCACCGATAGTTCCCCTCATTACATTCCATCTGTCTTAGACTCATCATTTCTAATGAAACTACTACCGCTACTCCATCCGATATCACTCCCATTCCGATCGGATGGAGTACTCGCATCGATGAGACCACCAAATTACCTATCGGATTACCAACACATACTTCCATCCTCATCTCGCTTCCACTTGTTCCACAAATTATCCAATTCATCATTTTATATCTTCATCACGTTTATCTCCCTCTCATGTCTCATTTGTCATCGCATTTTCCAATATTGTTGAGCCTATATCATATTATCAAGTTATGCATTTTGAGTACTAGTAAGCGACCATGAAAGATGAACTTGATGCACTTGAGAAAAATCACACTTGGATAGTGGTTTCTTTGCCTTATGATCAATATGCTTTTGGCTACAAATGAGTATACAAGGTGAAACTTCTTACCGATGGAAATGTTGATAGATATAAGGCTAGATTGGTAGCCAAAGGCTATAGTCAACAAGAAAGTTTTAATTATCGAGAAACCTTCGACACTGTTGTTAAGCAAACGACGAGTAAGAGTTTTTCTTGCTCTTGTAGTATCTCGGTAATGGCATCTTTCTCAAATGGATTTCAACAATGCTTTTCTTAATGAACACTTATCCGAAACCGTATGTATGGATCTTCCACCGGGGTATCGACTTCGGGGGAATGTTCTATATGTCCCGTTGGTACAAAACCGAGTGTGCAAGCTAAATAAATTTCTATATGGCTTAAAGCGGGCATCTCGTCGGTGGAATCAAAATTGACCACTTCTTTGCTATCTTTTGGTTTTATGTAGTAGAAGATAAATTACTCATTGTTCACTAAGAGAATATCTTCCGATGATTTTATTGCCATGCTCGGTTTATGTAGATGACATTGTCATTGCCAGCAACTCCATAAATATCATTGAAGATTTTAAAAAACTTCTTCATACTCGATTCAAAATGAGAGATATGGGAAGATTATCTTTCTTTCTTAGCATTGAAGTAGCAGTATCTCCAAAATGAATCTCATTGTGCCAAAGGAAGTATGTTATTGATCTCTTGACGAACATGATTTATTAGGGGTAAATCCAAGCAACTACTCCTATGGACCCGAATGTTAAACTAGCACAAACCGATTGTGAGCTTTTAGAAGATCGGACTTTCTATAAAAAGTCGAAAGGAAAGTCGATATATCCGACTTTCACAAGACTTGACATCTCTTTTGCCCCTCAAGTTCTTTCACGGTTCATGGATAAGCTCGCCCAAATTCATCCGCAAGCTACATTTAAAGTGTTGAAGTATCTCAAACGTCCACTCAGGCGAGGTATTATGTTCTCAAGTCAATCGGTGTAACATTATAAGCTCTACTCGATAGTGGATCAGGCGAGCTACAAAGACACTCGAAAGTCGGTTATTAGGTACTATGTTTTTCTTGGTGATTTGATCATTAGCTAGATATCGAAGAAACAATCATTGATGGCTTGAAGCTCAACTGAAGTCGAGTATATAACAATGGCTACTATCTCGTTATAAATTAGTATGGTCGTTGTCCTTGTTGACGGACACAGGTTTTCAACACCAAGCTACAGTGAAGCTAAAGTATGATAATCAATCGGCGATTCATATCAGCAAGAATCTAGTTTTCCATGAAAGAATCAAGCATATTGAAATTGATTGTCACTTCATTAGGGAAAAGGTTCTTGTCGGCATTATTCAACTCTGAGTTTATGTTATCCAACTTGCAAGTTACAAACTTACTTATCAAACCTCCGTAACCAGCACAATTCCACTTCCTTTTGGACAAGATGAGCATTTCTAATATACATGCTCCTCTTGAGAGGGAATGTTAAAAGAAGAAGAGGACACGTGGATTGCAAGTCATCTATATTCCGTTATAACTAATTAACTAACATAAACGAGTTAGAAGAAAAGTTAGTTATAAGTTTTCCCATTTCTCATTTCCTTTCTCTATGTGTTTATAAATATCCAAGAAGATTGTAGAAAGTTAACTCTCCGAAACAATAAGATCATCTTCTTCAATTCTCTCCTTTGTTTCTGTTTTTGATTTCTCACAGGTTGTGCAAGAATGGTAGGGCTGAGGCTGGTTATAATTTATTTATTGACTTGAGGAAGAAGGGTCAATTTGTGGATGTTATTACGTACAGCATTGTTGTGTTGCTACTTTGTAGGGAAGGTCATCTTGAGGAAGCTCTGCACTTAGTGCAAGAAATGGAGGAAAAAGGCTTTTTTGTTGACCTAATTACTATAACATTACTCTTGATTGCGTTTCATAAGCAGGGCAAGTGGGATTTCACAGAAAGGTTGATGAAGCACATAAGGGACGGTAATCTAGTACCAAATGTTCTTAAATGAAAGACAGATATAAAGGCTTCATTGAAAAATCCACAAAGCAGAAGAGAGGATTATACTCCACTGTTTCCATCTAAAGGTGGCCTCTAGAAAATTATGAGTTTAATAAGTTCCCCCAACTCAGGTTCAGATGATGGAGCAAGTAAGGATGAGAAGAGTTCAGCAGCTGACACTGATCAGTGGTCATCATCTTCATATATGGATCATTTGACCAATCAAGCAAAGTCCTCTGACCTTTCTTCTCAACTATATTCACTAGCTAGAGGCCAGAGAGTTCAAGATAAAGGGGCAGACTCTTTTGATATTGATATGTTGAATACCTTCTAGTCTGTATTTTTGGCTAAGGGAAAACTGAGCTGAGCCTGCAAGTTGTTTGAGACATTCACTGATATGGGTGTGGATCCTGTAAAGTTAAACTTACAATTCCATCATGAGTTCTTTTATGAATAAGGGCTGTTTCAATAAGGCATGTGATGTTTTTAATGAAATTGGTAAAAAGGTTTACCCAGCAGACATTGGAACCTACAATATGGTGATTCAAGGGTTGGGGAAAATGGGGAGAGCAGACCTCGCCAGCTCCATTCTAGATAAGCTAATGAAGCAAGGTGGTTCGTTGACATTGTTGTGTATAATAGTATAACACCCTAATTAATGTACTAGGAAAGGCTGGTAAGATTGATGAAGCTAACAAGCTTTTTGAACATATGAAGTCTAATGGATTAAATCTTGATGTGTCACTTATAATACTATGATTGAAGTTCATAGCAAGGCAAGTCAGTTGAAAGACGCATATACGTTCTTAAAAATGATGTTGGACGCAGGCTGCTTGCCAAACCATGTCACAGATACCAATTTGGACTTTCTAGCAAACGAGATTGAGAAACTAAGGTACCAAAAGGCATCAATTATGCTCCAAAACGATGTTTCTCCTCGAAATAAATTTTGGCTCATGAGGATGGTTCAAGGATTAAAAGAATTAGTTGCGTTGGTAAGTGAATAATTCTCATAGAACTCCTTTCAGATACTCTTAAAGCGAGCATTTTAACCATGTATGGATACATATAATAGTAGTCCAAGTCAATGCTTCGCGATTCTTTTGCTCTTAACGATCAGCATAACAACCAACAACCATGCGTCGCCTTCTCACACATAATATGCACTGCAGTCCACATCACAGCCGTCCCTCTTTTCCAAACCAACAACTTAAAAACACCCACGAAAAGGAATTTGGGTGGCAAAAGGCTCCATGCTTTGTATTGCATGATATATGAAAAAAGAATTTGGCCTAACACCGTTCGTCTGCCTATTAATACGTGTACAAGGGTGACAATGGCAAATGACATCAACCAAGACTCCCTCTTTATGACCATAAACCCAATTTTTTAAGGCTAACCATGCCAGGATGAAGTAATGTTCCCTCGGTAGCATAGCAGCATAAATTTTCTTCAGGTTGGACCGAAAAAGATACGTGTCATATTACACCTTGAGAAATAAAACTAAAGCGAACGCGTTGGGGCACAAATAGTACTCTCCCCAATCGTAGGGGACTGCTACAATAAAGACTTCCACGTCATTGCTTGCCTCACTCTTCTGTTGCATAAAAACAAGTAAAACGCTTCTCTTTATGTAGATGTTTTGAGTTTGTTGTTTCAGTTCTCGAGTAAATTACTAACATTTATTAGGCTCAAGTTGATTATGACAACGAAGAATGTCTTTATTGTAGATAGACCGGTAAAAGTGTCCTTCGCCATTTTGCTCTCAGCGGTTACTTGGGAGTCATGGAAGTAAAAACCCAAAAATGTGGTACAGAAATTTGGTGGCCAAACATTGTTGCAACTCATAAATACTCTCGAAATCATCCCTTGTAAGTTGTAAGAATTTGGTTAATTATATACTTTTTTGCTGCGAGAACCAAGAATTGCTTTGGCAGAATCTTTCATAGTAGAGTACCCCCAAGTTCATTAGAACTTTCATATCATCATTCAAACTCAATAATGAACAAGCTCTGACGTGGAAGGTAAAGAAATAGGCTCAGGGGCCCTTTCCCCGTCGCGTCAGGGAACATGGCGAAGAACTGGAATGGGATCGTCAACATGCGCTAAAGCACCAAACAAAAGCTGACGGAAGGTTAGGAACATAACAGAGGCGCTTTATCGCATCAGTACTGGAATACAAATTGAAAATCCATCATTGGGGAGGGGCTAGGCATCGAGGTGATTATGAGGAATTTCAGAAGGATCCATCAGTGAAAAACTAACGAGGTGGGGCCTATAAAAATTGCAAGTTCCTAAAAGATACGTAACTCCAATAGCAATGGCTTGTTAGAGGTGCTTTCATTCTCAAATGGATAGTTAGATGCAATGAAGTCCGAGGCATAAAAATTGCTCCTACAGATCTAATATGTTGAATAGCTGAAGCCCACAAAATGATAAAGGTCTAGCTTTTTTTCATGTATTGCACACAATTAACAGATTAATATAATCGTCAAGTAAATAAGGAATCGAAAATCTATCAAAGCCAAGTGAAAGTGATATTTCAGAGTTGAGAGCTTACAATTCTTGTAGCTATACAAAGAATAAGAAGGCATTTCACTAAATTGTACAAATATTAGCATGGCATACTAGAGGGGTCTTCCTTTCTATCATCCTATTCCCATCAGAAACTCTGTTCTTCAAATTAAACATCGCCTCTTATTAGATTGAAGAACTTTGAGCTTTCTGCCTAACTACTCAATTTACCAACACTCTCGTCTCTTTTATCACTGTTTATGATAAACTCAAGCTGATAATGATTTGCAAATGGTGAAATGATTGTATTAAATAAATGAATCTCAATTTTTTTACTAAACATTATAAATCTGAACACATTGATTAATGCAAATTGAGTACAAACATTCAGAACCCTCTGCCACACTACAGCAGTCTCAATGTCTTCATCCCAGCAACGAGCAGAGAAATTGCTACCTGCCACACAACAGCAGTAACAATGTCATCATCCTAGCAACTAGTAGAGAAATGGCAACGCCAACCAAATTCTTGAACCAGGTCTCCACCGTAGGGCTATTTTATCTTTAATTCATACTCCAGGAAAGCAGAATTAAAAATAATAATAAAAATAATAATAATGCATACAAAGCAACAGCCATTCCCATTCATTACACAATAAAACAGTTCCAAGATATTACGACTGAAGAACTGGCAAACATGTTACGCTCATCAAAAAGTTTCAGCCTCCAGAATAAGTTTTCTTCTTAAAGCTATTGAATGCCAGCTGATCCCAATCACCAGATCAATTCAGTCACAATCAGGCTACTGTCAAATTGAGTCTAATGTCAGTTTCAAGAGCAACTGAAACTCAGTGAATATTACGCCCACATAGAGTGATTCAGATTTCAGAATATGAAAGCACGCACAGAAACAACAGAAGCATTCATTAATGATAAAAAATAATACTGTGCAAGGTAGTGATAGATAAAGTAAGAAGAATAAGGAATCTAACAGCATAATGCTGCCCTCGCTGGATCCGTAGAGAAAACAAGCTACATGTAGCATGCTACAGCAAATGATGCTTGGATTGAATGAAGAGTTTTCATGGGCCCTTGCCTGTGCTTCCATAATGCTTAAGGTCAGTCAGTTTTAGACAGCAAGCACGTCCGTTAAAATCAAGTATCTTATGCACTTCAGAAAGTGATGATTAAAATGTCCTAATTTTTTTCGTATCTCTATATTTCACAGGGAGGGAGATTGACTTACACATCATATAAATGAAAATCAGACAACTACTACTATCATGATTCATGCCAATGTTAGAATCAGGGGTCCTTCTATTTTGTGGGGCAATTTATAAACTGATGTACGCAGGTAGATGTCGCAAGCAAGAAACTCTTGAGGTTGCTAGAAATCCAACAAAAAAAAAACTGAAATGGGGGCTATTATGCAATTCATAATGGCTTGATTCATTAAGGTAGCAATAAATTCAGGCCATATGAAAAGTTAGGATGTGCTGAACTAGCAAAACTACGTCATTTGCCCCATAAAGTTGATTCTCAAGTAGTTCCTGCCAGCTTTACGGATGTATATATATATATATATATATATATATTCAACCAACAAAGGTCAGAGTTAAGAAATTTTATCAGTCATTATTACTCAGATTGAGGAGGAACCAAATACGGTGGGCATGCCTTAGATAAAAGAAAATCAACACCAAGGATGGTGACTAAATAATTTTCCAATCTCTGATACAAAGGCATACCTGCTGGAAGAACTCTGCAAACAACAGCTAGTGGCTGCCTCGCATTACTCCATTTTCAGAACGTGGTTTGCTTTGTGCTTCAGTTTGTGACAACACCAGTTGGTGATAGCTAGCATTAACTTCTAAGATTCCAAAATTTACCAAGAACAAGATAAATATGATCAATGTTTCCTTTTAATAAGTTCTTAGTTATCCTTCTGAACTAGAACCTTACTGTGTATTGATAGTCCTGGTCTAAAGTAAGGAACAAGCGTCTAACATTAAAAAATATCTTTCATCAGCATCACCTTCCAATGCTAGCTAATTCTGCTACAAGCTCCTTCCCTCCAAAATTCTTCAGGTGTTCAACAATTCTTTCAACATAAGGAGCTCTGAGAGGAATTCTTTTTTGAGCATGGACCTTGCAAGCCTTGCAGCTTCTGCTGAATGGCTTTTTTGACAAAGCCCAGCTAAAAGGATGGAATATATATCAATGTCAATGGAAGACAACCATCCCATTTTCTCAATATCTTCATATAAACAAAGCCCATCAAGCTCTCGTTTCTCCAAACAAAGCTCCCTAATCATCATACTGCATGCCAAACTATCAAGCTTCATCCCACTAGCTAAAGCACTCCTAAAGATCTTCTCTGCTTCCTCCACTTTCTTAATCTTTATCAAACACGCCACAAGAGAACTATAGCAATCACCAATCGAAACACTTCCTCCCACAACAATTCTCTCGATCAACTTATACACATCCTCTAGCTGGCCGTTCATGCAAAGACCATTTATCCAAGCACTAGCAGTGACACGATTTAGAGCACACCCACGGATCTCCATTAACTCCCAAACTGCCAGTGCATCCTTTGTCCTGCCTTGCTCGCAAAAACTCTGAATCACAGAGGTGTAAGTAATAACATTCGGATGACATTCCCCACCTTCCTTCTCCATCTCCGCTAACAACTCAATTGCCCTCTCCACAGTCCCCAACCTACAAACCCCCTCAAGAAGCACTGAATATGCCACAACATTAGGATAACAACCGCATATCTCCATTGCCGAGAACAACGCATAAGCCTCCTCCAATCTACCCACATTACAAAACCCTTTAATCATTGAGACATACGTTATCATATTGGGATAAAGATCAATCAAACCCATCTCCTCCATCAATTTTTTAGCCATATCCATGTCACCCTTCTCACAAAGCAACCTAATAACAAGATTATAAGCAACAGTATCTGGACGTATGTTAAATTCAGGCATTTTCTTTAACACCATCAAAGCCTCATTAGCGAGCCCACCCGCTTTGCACAACCTCAAAACAACCTTAAACATGTCAACACAAACCACACACTTCTCCAACTTATAAGCCTCAATTAAATCCAAAATAACTTGTGGGTTTTGCTTAATCTTGAACAAGTTACAAGCTTTATTGTAGATATATAAATTATGCTTATACGTTGGTTGATCACCAGCCCAGATAAAAAACCTAAGACCCAATTGAAGGTTATTAAGGGACCATCTGTGTATGATATCGTTGACATATTTGGTGTCAAGTTTAATAGGTGCGAGTGAATTGAGGGTTTTCTCTATGTTGTTAGGACTGCTTTGCAGACGGGCATTGAGTTTCTCTAATAAGGAAGTAGTAGCGAAGTGCAAAGTTGAGATTTTTGGGGTTTTGAGCTTGATTGAGAAGGAAAGATGGCGAGCTAGTGAGGAGAGCGACATGGGCTAAAGTGAAAAGAAAAATGACGACCAGAGATTTAACAGCTACAAAAGGATGGAAAAAAACGTTAGTACCTGGGAATCAGGGTTAAGAGAGGAAGAGGAGAGGGCTGAGTCCTACTCCGAGTCACGAAGCCACGAACTCGAAAGACTCATTGAGAGGCTTGCGTATATATATTAGGAAATTCTAGGGTTAACTACAAAATACCCCTCATCTATGGAACATTATCAATGTTACCCTTCACCAATCACATTCATCAGCTTTAACTTTATCTAAGGTTTTCAATTCTATCCTTTCATACGCTTTCCATCCAAATACGTTAACAAAATCCATAAATCGGAAGATATATATATTAGTTAAAAATATAAAAAGAAAAAAATTACTCTCATTTAAACTCAAATTTAAAAAATTGAATTTTTCAGTTTTTGTTTTTCAATCTATTACTATCAATTTGTTTATTCCACTCTAAATTTAATAGATTGTTAATGGCTAAATGGTCAAATCTTCCTTGAATTTTAATCCATTTAAAAATAAAATTCTGAACTTGTAATTTTGTCTTTACTTCGTTTGAATTTTATTGTTTTTGAGATTTAATCCATCCCATAGTTTTTTTAATCAAAAATAGCGATCAGATAAATATTTTCATGATGAAAATCGTTCGAGTAAGATTTATCTAAAATTTTTCAGAAAAATTGATATCATTTCGAGTTATTTTTTATTTTTCTCAATTTTTTATATTTTTAATATTTAAAAAATAAAAAATAAATCCCCCAATCTTAAAATTCTGAAATTTTTTCAAAAAATAAATTAAATTTTTCACAACAAGTGTGCAAAACATTAGTTTAAAATACCAAGAATTGAATTTTTTTTTAGAGAGCAATGATTGTTGGAAATCTTAGGTTGCATTAAATTAAAAAAAAAAAAAAGTTTAAGAAATATCAAATCTGAGATTAAAAATTCAGAACTAATTTTAAATGAAATAAAGTTTAGAGGAGGTTTGACCCGTTTAACCATTGTTAAATTTGAAATTGGAGCATGAGTATTTAACAAAAATTGTCAACTGATTTAGATGCAAAATGAGTGGAAGATATGATTGATAACTTTCTGTAATGTTAAGGATAAAATTAATGAATGCAATTGATGAAGAATAACATTGATAACAACCTTATAAATGAAGCATATTTTTGTAGTCCACACAAAATTCTAATAATCCTCCTCATCTTAGAAATTGTAATTATTATAAAAACCACTAAAAGAGCTTGACAAAATGAATAGTTCATCCCCCTTTATTATGACACTATTTATTTACATTCATATGCACTATTCACTTAGTGTTGTTATGATTTTTCACCCTTTATTCTAGCATTTGATATGTAAAATTTAGTAAATATTGGACTTTAATCCCTAATTTTTACTAAAACTTTTTTTTAATTTGTATCTTCATTTATATTGCGGTTTGGTTCTTAAATATATAGAAAAAATGAAGAGATAGAAAGGAATATAGAGAAAGCCACGAGGAGGCTCATTCTAGTCACTTTGATTGTCGATCTTAGTTTTGATTTATTCATCTTGGAGATGAAAATTTGTTTACGGTGATCCTAAATCATGAAATGGTAAAAAAAAATGACATCAAGACCCAAAAATATTTTTACGTTTTTTAATTTGATTTGGATTTTTGAGTTTTTTAAGTGTATTAAAATGAATTGTCAAGTTCAAAACAAATTGATTTTTTTTAAGCTAATTTCAATGATTTTGAGGGGTTGTAGTGCAAACTAGATTTTTGAGCAATGCTACTGCTGCGAGTTGGATAAAATATATAAAATTATATAGAAAAATTATTTCAGTTTAATAATCTATTTTATGGTAAAAAATAATTATAATTTTTTAATGAAAAAATTTGTATTTAACTATTTTTCATTTGTGTTTTTAAATTTTAGAAATAAATAATAAAGGAAATAAATTATTGATTTCTTTAAAATTTTAACACCCAATTAATTGTTGGTTCTTTTAAAATTTTAACACCCAATTAATTGTTGGTTCTTTTAAAATTTTAACACCCAATATTATTAAAAAATGAAAATTTTAAAAAATTCAATGTTGAGAAAAAAAAAATGAGGCCAACCGTTTATTGTTCATGTGAACAATAAACGGACGAAAATTAAAAGAAAAATTCAGTGTTTAGAGGAAAAAAAAAAGGAGGGCAAGTCATTTCTTGTTCAAATGAACGAGTAAACGGATAAAAAAAGGGTGGGAAAGAAGGCCAGCGGGTGTTGGAAAAAAAAATGAAAACTTAAAAAAAAAAAAAAGAAGCCAAAGTATTGTAGCAATGAACAATGATTAACATTGTTCATTGCTATAGTGACATTTGGTTTTCCTTTAGTATATAGTACTAGCATGTATCCTGCGCGATGCCGCGGGGTGATTTTATACGGTATTTTTATGTGTTCATTCATATAAAATACAAAATTTAAAAATAATTATTTAAAGAGATTATACGAAAAAAGTAAAAAAAATAACCAAAACATATGTATCATATTTTGCTGCAAGATTAGCTAAATGAAAAGTTTGCAAAATTGAATAATATAAAATTACTAATAAGATATTTTTTCATATAAACATGTATTTTATTAGAAATATGTATAATAACTGGTAACTAAAATAATAATGTGGTAATTTTTTGAATGTTAGATGATTAATTTTTATCATATAATATTCATCCGTGATTTGTAAATAAAATAGACGAGACCATCCAAAACAAAAAGACAAAAAAACTTATTCAAATCGAGAATTTGACCAAAAAAAATAGAGATAAAATTACATACGATAAAAATTAAATGATCAAAATAAAGTAAAGATAATAAAAGAATGATGAAAATAAATAAATAAATAAACTTTCACTAAAAGCAAAAAAAAAAAAAAAAAAAAAAAAAAAAACTTATAAATAATAAGACTAAAAAAAAATTATTATACATAAGATAGGAACAAAAGTAAAACATGATAGAATTTTAATGATCAAAATAAAAAGATTACAAAATAAGAACCAAAAACAGAAAATATTTTTTACTAGAAGTAAAAAAAAAAAAACTTATAATTGTGAAACTGTATTTAATTTTAGTGTAAAAAGAATAATAATCAAATATAATAAAACTTCAATTATCAAAATAAAAGAAAGATCACAAAATAAAAACCAAAACATAACAAAAAGTTTTACTAAAATTAAAAAATAGTTCCTTGTAGGAGAAAAAAATCAAATATAATAAAAATTTAATGATCAAAATAAAAAACAAGGACTAAACCAAAAAAAATAAAAAAATTCTACTAAATTTAATGACAAAAACAAAGAAAAAAAAATCACAAAACATGAATTATAATAGAAAGAAAAGTTTCACTAAAATTTTTTTAAAAAAGAAGCTTATACTAGTGAAACTTTATTTAGTTTTAGTATTGTAAGAATAAAAATCAAATATGATAAAACTTTAATGGTCAAAATAAAAAATATCATAAAATAAGAACAAAAAAAATATAAACTTTTACTAAAAGTTAAAAAAAAAATTATTATAGGAAAAAAATCAAATATAATAAAATTTTAATATTTATTATAGGGACAAAAACCAAATATAATAAAATTTTAATATTGATTATAGGGATAAAAATTAAATATAATAAAATTTTAATGACTAAAATAAAAAGAGATTACAAGACAGGGACTAAATAAATAAATAAATAAATAAAAGCCAACCCCATGGCTTGGCTACAACAAAGCAAACGGAAGGAAAAAAATTAAAAACAAAAGAGAGCATTAGCTAGTGGCTAAAGCAAGAGGACGGGAGAAAGAAAAAGAAAAATAAAAAAAACAAAGTTGTTACAGTTAATCCACAATAAATGCTACAGTAGTTTATCGTTTTCTTTTAGTATTTCTTGTAATAATATCGTGGTAAAATTTGTTTTGAGAGGTTGAAATGTGCTAACCTGATTTTTCAGCAAAGTTTTCAGCTATCACAGCTTTGCTCGAAGTTGCAGGCGGTCGACGCATCGTCTCATACGAATTGCGCAGATGATGCGTCGTCTGTCATTTTACCTTTTTTTTTTTTTTGTTTTTGAAAGGCTCGCCTACGCTTGTCCAGCCTGTGCATGTGTGGCCTGGAATTCCAAGTCTGAACGTGCAGGCTTGAGGCGTAAAGGCCCAACTGGATTTTCTTTGTTGCTTTTTTGGATAATTTTTTATTATTTGATTTTGTATTTAAATTTTGGAAAATTCATAATTATTTTTTGAGTTTCATCAACCTAAAAAGAAATGTTAATAATATGTTTTTATATTTTAGAATTAACATGTATTTTAAATGATGTTACTCTTATTGTTGGAAATGTAGCCCTTCAATCATTTTTCATGAAAATTCTCATCCAATTAATTTTATCATTTTTATTTTTATTTAAAAAAATATTTAAAAATATGATTTATTTTTTCTCTATGCCTATATTTTGGAATAAATTTTTATGAACAGAATTATTTTTTATTTAAAAATAAAAATATAATTTATATGATGGATTCTTATAAGTTTTAATTGAGACAATTATGATTCTAAATATATATATCTGATCTAAAAACTAGAAGAGTATTTCAAAAAACAAAATTCCCAAATTTTTGAAAAAATATAATTTTAAAATAATTAATTGATAATTAAAAGTAAGAAGTAATAAAAAAAAGTGATTGTTATACATGCAAGACCTATGAACAGAGACCGAACCTATATGGCTTAGAAAAAATATATATATATATATATAATTCTCAAAGTTTTGAAAAAATATAATTTTAAAATAATTAATTGATAATTAAAAGTAAGAAGTAATAAAAAAAAGTGATTGTTATACATGCAAGACCTATGAACAGAGACCGAACCTATATGGCTTAGGAAAATATATATATATATATATGAAATCAATTTTCTTAAAATAAAATAATTACAATTATATTTTAAAAAAACACTCAATGCTACATACTTTT